CGTGCTGTCAAACCTACACTAGCAAGGAGATCGGGCTGAAACTATAGCTACAAGCTATCCAAGGATGGTACTATAGAATGTCACCTCAAGGTAGGCCTAGTGGCGTCATCTCTTGGTTAGGCCGGAAACTTATCAATCCACCCTCGTATATCTAATAGTTAAGTGCCTAAGTAGTAAGAATACTTGCCTGCTACACGGAAAGTCTACGTTATAATTTATAACATTCTAATATCTGCTGGTACAATTTCGTATTCTTAGTTTATGTTTATTTAGTTATTTTGACTTGTTACGACCACGTGGAGGGGTAGACGGTATACCGCGCGGTGAGAGGTAGCAGCGGAGGAGGGAGAGAAAGGCTGGCGGCGACGAAGAGAGCGCAACAGCTGTATTAGATGGATATAGCGCGCAGCCGCATGGAGAGTGGGGAGTCCGCTAGAGTCCCGGCGGCGTGTGCTGTGTTCAGCATCATTGCTTCTATTTGCGGTCTGTGTAAAAAACAAATCATAATTTGCAATAAACTTGTGAAAACGAAATGCGTGCTGGGACACATAGTAGAAGTGAAACTTCAACAGACAAGTGAAAAAACGAATGGCAACGGACAACTGGAAAAACGAATGGTAATAGACAATTTGGAAAAACGGATAGCAACGGACAACGACAACGATTTTCAAATTGGACATGTACCTACATTAACAATCTGCCGGTAAAACATGAAGTAAAAATTTTGTTGCGATTCGTTTTTCCACTTGTCCGTTGAAGCTTCATTTCTATTATGTGTCCCAGTACACATTTCGTTTTCTTTTTAGTGTTATTCCAAATTGATAAGAGTCCGTGTACAGAGCGCCGCGACTATGTAATTGATATATAAACCTATATACAATAATAATTATTTAAAACATTATACACTATAAGTTTATGAGGCGTTCTGTGTTTGTATATTTTAAATATAATATAAAATTTTACTTTCCTTCACACTTTAATCCAGGCTTAGAACTGGCAGTTTTGTCCGACAAAACAGGCGTGTTTAAAGGTATAAAAATCATTCATATTCGTCATGGTATACACGAAAAAGTTAAATATAATTAATAAATGTAGTTGCATTTATGTCATATTGTAGTTTTAGACACCCACCTCACACAATCGAAATGCTTCACTTGAGTTTTTGCTTTCTTCTTTTAAGATATCTATTACCGAATAAATGTTTGAATGTTTTTCCAACTTGTCTGTTCAAACTACTGTGCCACTTTTTCACTGCATTGTGGGTGCGGTGTCTTAAGTCAAAACAGTTACAAATGTCTACCGGTACTGAATCGTTCTCCAGGCATTGGCCGACAAAATTTTTTTGTACGTACCATCACGAATATGAATGATTTTTTGAAAGTGTGAAGGAAAGTAAAAACTTATATTTACAATATACAAACCCAGAACGCATAAACTTATAGTGCATAAAGTTTTAAATAATTATTACGGTACATAGGTTAATATCAATTACATAGTCGCGGCGCAAAAAACACGCTACAATTTTACCACTCTTTCCCGTGGCGCAGAAAAAGGTCACGGCCCAAAGAACATGACGCTCTACGCATAACGCCATTGATAAAGGCTGAATGTCGATGCAAATCCACCATCGGAGACAGAAATATCGCTGAAAAAGCTCGTGTTATCGAAACGTTTGGAAACAGCTCCAACCGACGACGGCTATTAGACCCGAATCAAGGCAGCATTAATGTGAAACACCTTCTTCTTCTGGGTTATAAGCTTACGGTAGGTAAAACTAATATGAAATAGTCACGTTATTGATTAATTTGCACAAATAACCAACTTCACGCCAGACTAAAACCAAATCCTGTGTTTAGCCGTGTGCGCTATATTGTTAACTACATCTCACCTGATAGGTACACATGAATCTTGCCGTCAGATCCGGGAAATATACTTGAACGTCGAATCACAGTAAGAAATGAAGACATTCATTGACATACATACGCAATTTTTTTTATGGGGGGGGGGGGTTATGAGAGAAAATGAGACATTTTCTGTATCCAGATAATTAAACACAAAATACACATTCATTAAATAATTAGTATCTACCTACTATTTACCTGATATTTATTTATGTAGCAAACAAAAATCATATTGTAAAAATCGTATAAATCTGTCAAGCAATCGAAGTATCTAACCTGCATAAATTAAAAGCAAAAAGTTAACTAACTCGGAAATTCTTAAATCTATGATAATCTGATAAATTGGTAAAAACCTTCGCGTGAACTGATAACGTTTCTGGAAATCCCGCATCGGAGAAGTTGAAGAAGCTCGCTAGCTGTGCTAGCGAAACGTTAGGAAGCAACTGCAACCGACGACAGCCTTTAGATCCGTATCAGGACAATATCAGTTCTATGATAATCTGTTTATCTGTTTTATTACTTCTGACCCTTTTGAATTTCTCCGCTAGGCATGAAAACGTTTTACGCACATTTAGATATTTCTCTATCATAAAAATAACGACCATCATCCCTGTCAAAAACTGCTGTTTTTACAGTTAAATACAAAACGGTTATGTTTTGCAGAATTTTATATTTTACATATAGCCTGCGCGTATATCTCAATTTATATCAAGGGGAAGATTTCACATTTTACTATTTCATAAAAGAGTCAAAGTTTTGATAATACGGAGAAGCGTGGCTTTCGTGAAAATTTGGATAAAGTTATATTTATTGAATTGTAATAATCTCAATATTCTCCATTGCAACGAAGCCATAAAATGGTACTTATTAACAATAAGGCTAGCGGTGTTACATACGTCAGTAGCATGCGGTTTCTTACGGAAACGCTTATAGTACAACGATGTAGTGTTTTGCACCAATGTGTTGAAATACAAGTCCCGATAAGATATTTGTGACAGTTCCAAAGGACATGAAAAAGAAAAAAAGCTATCTAGTTATCTAATTACTGTTACACCTATATGTTTATTTAATATTCAAAAATATTCGGAATATAAATTTAGTCACGTTACAGCAGATATGTTACCGCATATCTTCGCCTATCAGACAGATATGCGACGGCCGTCTAGTCCCCGTATAACAAATAAAGAATTAGGGTAGAAGAAATAACTGAATTGGGCAGCCATTTAATTTGGTTCGATAAATTTAATATGAGCTTCCAATCCGAGACAAAATCGATATCTTCAAATAGCATTCCGCTACCACAGATCTTCGGTGTAGCCACATTACAAATAATGCTATGGCATGTCAGGAACCTTCGGCCGATCTAGACATTTAATATCATTAATTTGTTGCTTCCCTTCGTTGATTTTTCACAGCACACAGTAAGCTTGTCCGAGCTTTGTGTTTTCGGCAAAACCTTTCACGGGTGGTGCATACACGATAGCTGTATCTCCATAAGATTTTCTTCCAAGTCTTTAAGAAAATTAAAACTTTTGGGAAAAATCACCCGCGTAAGTAAAGAACCTAAATACTAGTTCCAAATTTTACTGTTTTGCTT